AAATAAATGAACCTAATGTTCCATATTAAATTTGGACCCATGTTTTGTTTTTTATTGGCTTAAAGGCATCACGACCTTTTAAATATGTCATTTATATAGAGTTGCTTTCTAAAGTATTTTTCGATACTTTGTCCCCCAATTTAAACCATTGCCTCATTTACTCTAAATTGTTAACTCTCTTAAAAAGCACAAGGTTAAATTATATATTTAGTCACTGAACTATTCTTATAGTTTTATTTTGATCACCCAACTATTTGTTCTTCCAAAATCATCACTAAACTTTTTTTCTTCTTTTTGGTCCCTTTTTTTACTTCAGCTGCATTAGAACCTTTAGCATAAGACTGGAAAGTGTTGTCACCCGCATTGACTTGGTCCGGTAACTTGAGAAACTGTAGACGGCGGCATTGTCACCTTCACCGTAACTCTTGAAACCATTTACCGGATTATTGGTATCAAATGTGTACAAAGTGAAAGTATCTTTAGCTCCATTGGCTATTTTTCCATAACCAGGAAAATCTGACCCCATCACATTCGATCCTTTCATGTAGCTACTGAACTCGTTGGGAACGCCGTTGCCATTTTTGTCGTAATTCGAAAATGATTACTGCCTGTGTTGGCTTTCTCTGTGTAGCACATGAATATCTACCCATGCCCGTTGGATTCATCGGAGTGGGGAGTGAATTTGAGGTTAGGGACGATGACTAAATGGTGATCTTTTTTATGTTTGCACAGATTGAGAATGACACTAAAAGAGACCTATTTGTGCGTGTATATGCTTGACAAGTTCGATTTTACTTCCGCATCATGTCTCCCACCTTTCTTTTCCATAATAATCTAGAAGTTTAGTGTACTTTTCATACTTAATATGTCTTGTATTGCTGTTTTAGCTGGCAGCCTTCCGATCATTATGTTTACACGTTGAAGATGCAAATTTTTCAAAGAGGTATTTTACTGATCTGCTTCTCGGCTTCGTTTAACGTTGCTGGTGTCATTTTTATAAACAGGAAAGCTTGTGTTCTACATAGAAAGCTTTTGTTCGTGTTGCTGAAATCCCTTGCTGTCATTTTATACTGAATATAAGTAACTTTTCTTCTTCTTGTCTTCTTATTACTGTTTTTTTCATAACACGTTATCAGCATGAGTTGCTTAGAACCAATAATCTATTTATATTGAATATTAGATTCATCATCCACGATTAGATCTTATACAATAAAGATTCAATTTTCAATCATATCAATACATCATAATCTAAGATAAGTATAATCATACATTTATTTAGTTCTTTGAAAGCCTCTTATATGCTTACGATTTGATATTTACTTTTTTTTTTATTTCACTGAATCGATTCAATGAAAGTGGTTTAGATACTTTTATTGTTATAAAAGTTTAATATTATTTGTTCGAATTACGGAAAAATGAAAAAAAATCAATAATTTTAAGTTTATAATCAAAATATAAGAAATTATTTTTTCATTTTTGTCGTAAATTTATGAACAGCATGCCAGAGACAAACATTTGTCAATCTGTGATGCACATGAATATTATATGATATGAACATGGGTGTTATTGTTCCTCTTATTAAGATTGTTTTAGAGGCCACTATATTTTCACAACACGTGTGAGAAAAACAATGGAAGACTTGTGGCATGACCTGTACCCTTAACCCTATTGTGGCGTACTAATTTTAACAAAGCAGTTGGAAGATTCAACTTTTGAATTCAAACACCAAAAAGGGAAAAAAATGAAACAATTAATTGTGTTGGTTTGGTGTTTCAGCGACGAACAAAGCAACGAGATGTTATAAATTTATGAGCAGTTGGGACATGCTGCAATAGTCATATGGAAAGTGATTTTAACTAGAGATTTGCAATTAGGTAATCGTTTAAGTTTCAGTCGTATCTTGTCAGGTTAGGTCAAATCGGATATAAATTGAGTCAGATCAATTTAATGATTCGACTCGGGTCAGGTTGAGTCCGGGCCAAATCAGTTCGGGTCATTTTTATGTTGATTTGATATCAGATTCAGTTTGGGTTCAAGTCGGGTTAATTTCAGTTTGGATCAATGTCAGTTCAGGTCAAAATGGTTCAGGTCTGAAGCAGTTAAATACCATGTTAATTCAGTTGGATCTTGTTCAGATCGGGTCACATCATTGACAGACAAATTCAGGTAGGATCTTACCGATACGGATTGACTTCAGGTCAGGTCATTTTTGAGTTAATTATTTTTTTGTCTTTCAATGTTTCATGTACGTCGAATTGTAATTTGTAATTATATATTATTTAGAATAAATTATAAAATTATAAATAATTATGAGTCAGTTTTAATAAAAATATAATTTGAAGTACTAAATTGAACAAACATGAAATTACAAACAAAAATTTAAATAAATTAAACAACAGACATAGATGAGGGATCAAATAAAAATAATTATAAAATGTGAAGTTGAAATTAATATAAAAATGAAGTATATTACATCAATTTAAAAAGTTGGTGAACAAAAATTTATAGTGTTTGAAGATTATGATATAATTTATAAAATTTGAAATGAAATTTATTATGTGATTTATAGGGTTTGAAGTAAATTACAAAAATATAAATAATTATGGGCCAATTATAAATACAAATATAATTTTAAGAATTAAATTACAAGGGTAAACTACGCGGGAAACCACCAAACTATGGTAAAAATCATTTTGACCACCAACGTTTTAATTTTATCAATCAGACCACCCAACTATTTAAATGTTTCAATCAAACCACCGACCTTTAATTTCTAAAGGAAATGGTGACATGTCAGTTAATAAAATTGATATAATTATATATTTAGTCATCAATATTAATATATTCTATCAATTAACCATCATTTTAATTTAATTAAATAAATTTTACATCCAATTAGATGACATGTCATCATCATATATCAAGGAAAAACAATTGAAAGAAATAATTTGTTGTTGTTGATAGGATATGAACCAGGGCTAAAAGGAGGGAATATGCATACTCGAACCACTCAGCCAACCGCAACTCTTAGCATAAGATTACAATAATTTCTATATATCCTGTTATAGTTAATGAAAGAAAAATAATGAAGTTAAAATGAAAATAGAAGGCTTTGAACTTGAAACTTTATCACTAGCCCAAACATATATTAGAAGCATAAATACAATATTGTTTTATATATTATTAATTTTTATTAATAGGTGTAATTCACTCTAATATTTAATATATATTTTGCATTATTTTTGTCATTGCATATAATATTGTGTTTTTTCTTTTAAAATATGAAATAATTTTATATTGCTTTTAATAATTTGAATTAGAATATGATTTTTAAACTTTTTTAATAATATTTTTTATTAAAAACAAAGTTTTTGTAATCTAACTAGAAAATTTAAAAAATCTATATTAAAAAAAACATGCCATCTTTTGGTGTAATGTTTAAGATTATCATAAAAGGGTAAACTACGCCAATGGTCACTGATATTTGGGTAAGTTTTCGTTTTTACTACTAATGTTTCAAAAGTTACAAATAGGTCACTAACGTTATCGTTTGTGATAAAATGGTCACTGGCCGTTAACAGTCGTTAAGAGGCGTGACGAAAAATACAACTGGACTATTATCTGCTGAGGTGGATCGTTGACCGCCATTTTGACTAGTTCTTTTTCTTCTTCAACCCATTCCCCATCTTCCTTTTCTTCACTTTTCTTCTTTTCCTCTTATCACACACATGACGTAATTCCCATTGTTGAGTGGAGACATCCCAGGCTATTGCTGCTCGTGAGATATTGTTGGCTAAAATAGGAAAGAAAAACTGTGTTTTTATTGCAGAGGCTGGAGCAGTACCAGACTTATGTAAGTTGTTGTCGTCTTCAAACCCTGTTTCTCAAGAGAATTCAATTATCGCAATGTTGAACTTATCCATTTATGATAAAAACAAAAGTCGGATTATGGGTGAGGATGGTTATCTAAGTTTGATTGTCAAAGTCTTGAGGCTCGGGCTCACATCGGAGGCCAGGGAAAATGCGGCAGCAACACTGTTCAACCTCTCAGCAGTGCATGACTATAAGAAGAGAATAGCCGATCAGGGAGGGGCAATCGAAGCCTTATCAGGGTTGTTAAGAGTGGGGACTCCGAGAGGGAAGAAGGATGTTGTAACTGCTTTATTTAATATGTCGACTCATTTGGCGAATTGTGCAAGAATGATCGAAGTCAGAGCTGTTACAGCACTAGTAGGAGCTTTGGGGAATGAAGGGGTAGCGGAGGAAGCTGCGGGTGCATTGGCCTTGATCGTCAGGCAACCAATCGGGGTTGAAGTTGTGGGGAAGGAAGAAATGGCAGTGGCGGGGTTAATAATAATGATGAGGTGCGGAACTGCAAGAGGTAAAGATAATGCAGTGGCAGCATTGCTCGAGTTGTGCCGCAGCGGCTAGTCTGCTGCGACTGAAAGAGTGCTAAAGGCTCCAATATCGGCCGGCTTGCTTCAGACACTATTGTTCACGGGCACAAAGCGGGCAAGAAGAAAGGTTGCATCGCTTGCTAGAGTGTTTCAGAGGTGCGAGAATACATCCTTGTATTTTGGTGGACTGGGTGTTGGATATGTATTTGTAGACAACTCGACAGCTTCGAACAGGGATCACGATTCGCCGACGATGTCTCGGTGCCTATGTTCATCTTTGTGCAGGTTTTATAAAGGCATACATCACAATGTGGTTTATAAATATGTTGTCAATTTAGTTGGTAATATATTTACAAATTATTTCATTGAAATTCAGATGATATGAAAAAGAAAAAAACCATTACAGAACTGAGAATATCTAATCCTGTGTTGGGAGAATGGAATTGAGAATATATGAAATGCAAAATCGGTTGTTGTTTCTATACTAATTGCTTGGATCATTTTCTGTTAATCACAAATGAAACGAAGAAAATAGAAAACATAGCTCCATTGTTAATTTAATACCAAAATTAAAGTCGTTTCGATTTTCAGCTTTTTGATTCGATGCGAAAGAAGAAAAGTGAAGAAAAAGTAGATGGGGAATGGGTTGAAGAAGAAGAAGAGCCAGTCAAAATGGCGATCAACGATCCACCTCAGCAGATAACGGTCCAGCTGTATTTTTCGTAACGCCTCTTAACGGCCAGTGACCATTTTGTCACAAACGATAACGTTAGTGACCTATTTGTAACTTTTGAAACATTAGTGGTGAAAATGAAAACTTACCCAAACATCAGTGACCATTAGCGTAGTTTACCCATCATAAAAAGTGTATACAGATTTTAAAGATTATCATATTGTTTTTAATAAAAAAATGTACTAAAAATAAAAATGTTATAATCTAACTATCATAAACAAAATAATTTACATTAATAACAAAAATAAGTACAAAGTTTATATCAGGGGCGTGTAGTCTGTCGTCGGAAGTCAGCCCTAGTCGGCGTTGTAGGCAGCGGTCGGTAGCCGATGGCTGTTCGACCATCGTTATAAATAGGTTCATTTTGAGTTTCGTTTAGAGATTGGGTAGGACGTTGTGGTATGTTTTTTCTTTTCTTTTCTTTTTTTGGTTTATTTGTCGTTGGCCACCTTGGAAGGTTTCCGGTGAAAGGATAAAAAAGAAATGAAAATATGGTACAAGTAAGGCTTTTTAGGGGTTGTTTTGCTCCATTTAGGAGACTTTTCCGATCATCCGTGGCATGGCCGGTGCTTCGTGGGAGTGTTGGCAGCCGAATCTCGGTTGCCGACGTTGATAAGGTGGTCGGAGTTATCTAGTTTGAGGGTGTCTCAACCTGCCATGAAGTAGGCGGTTGTTTACGTGAAATGTTTGGTTTGGGGGGTTGTTTTAAATGTTTTTAGTTTAATCGTATGACAGTCCCCCAGTTTCATCATATCTCTTACTTTGGCTACCCATTTTATGGGTTAATCGCCCGTAAATCCCCCAGTTTTAGCGTGTTTCTCGCTTTGGTCATTATCAGCGGAAAATCACGCGTCAAGTCTCCAGTCTAAGTTTGTTATCTTTTTTTCTTCACCATTCTGCTATGTTATTTATTTCAAATTAACTACTAACTTTTATTTTATTATACATTAATCACTGACTTTTATTTTCTTGCATTATAACCATTGGTTATTTATTTATTTCTTGTTTCTATTATTCGATTCGACCTTGTGGTGACCCGATCCGGGGTAAAATCCACATTATTATGGTCTGGACACTGTTAATCGCTAACTTTTCTAACTTACTAACATTCTAACTTTTATTTTATTGTTCATACTAACATTCTAACTTTTTATTTTTATTGTTCTTACTAACTTACTAGCATTCTAACTTTTATTTTATTGTTCATTGTTGAGTTAATCGATTGACGAAATAGCCAAGAAGGGGGTTAATTGGCAATTAAAATTTTGGTGGAAGCTTTTGCAGAAAAAAGAAAATAATTGCACAACGATTTAGAGTGGTTCGACTTTCTCAACCAAAGTCTACGTCCACTACCTTATCTATCCACATTAAGGATTTTCAAACAAATTCACTAATTTGTTCTTTCTTTTGAGGACAAATAGTAACCTTACAACTCCCTCAAGAATTATACCCCAAATTCTTGAGAACACTCTCTCCCAAAGAGAAGAATACAAATTTCGCAAACTTACAGAAAAACCTCACAATGCAAGATGTTTGCACAATTCTAGAACAAAGAAATAACACTAAAAATAATACAATTGAGTACAAAGGGTGTTCTTGAAAGCAAAATGAATATTGAATGAAAAATATGCTTAAAATGCTCAAACAATAAGATCAAGGCTTTCTCTTTGATTCTCTCACAATTGTTGTTACTTGTTATTGATCAATGGCTCCTAAGCTTGTTTAAATACACCTTGAATCACTTCTGAATGTTGGGGATCATTGGTGAAGTCAATAGAGTCGTTATTATGTAATAATCATTTAAAAATATGGTTGGGAGCGTAGGTGCATCGGTACACTCTCAAGGTGCATCGGTACAATGTGTGTAAAATTCAAATATTTCGACCGTTATAAGACCTAGTGCATTGGTACACTTGGGGTGCATCTGTACACTAATTACATCCGATGTTTCAAAAGAGCCAGGAGTGCATCGATGCATGGTTTGTGCATCGGTACATAAAATGCATTTGATGTTTCAATAAAATCAGGAGTGCGTCGATTCATGGTTGTGCATCGGTACACAAAATACATTCGAATTAGGGTGTGCATCGATACATCAAATAGTGCATCGGTACATCCCTTTATAAAATTGATTTTTGGCTCAGTTTTGGTTCGAAATACTTTGTAAAAAATTGTTTCAAAAATATTTTAATTTTAAAATACAATTTTACACTTTAGTAAGGATTTAAATTGACATTTGAAAAACTTGGGGTAATATTTTTGATATTCGAATAATTTAATCAAAAATACTTTAAAATTGATTATAAAATCTTAAAATTCAATAACACTTAATTTGTTATATCGAAACATCAAAATGTTTTCAACAAACTCCCCCTTTTTGATATAACAAAACATTTAGATAATTTTAAGATTTTCAAATAATTTTAAGATTTTCTTTGAAAATCATTTTTGAAATCAATTTTGAAAATTATTCCCCCTTACTATATTCTCCCCCTTTTTGTTAAATCAAAAAGACTCTAAAAATGTTTTTAAACAAGGTTTTGAAAATTTAGCCAATTAATATTTAGATAAAGCTTAAGCTGCTAAGATCACAATCAAGAGAAAGATTAGTCAATAGTTCCATAAATCAATATTCATAGATAATGTGTAATGATAATTAGTCATAAATGATGCAAAATCTAACATAAAAATTTAATCTAAGTTAAAAAACTAAAAATCATTCAACCAAACCAAACATCCAAAATATAATCAAAACAAATAATCCAAACTAAATATTCAAAATCCAAACAAACAAAGCCAAATATTCAAAATGTTTAAACAATTAACGACTAGAGGATGTCCTAGGGCGTTTAGACATGGTAAAAGGTCAGAATGGGTAAGATTACCTGTAAATTTGAAACATGTGTATGCAACAATATCAATCCCAAAACTCAAATGAGTCCTCAATATTTCAAAGTTCTCTAAAATAAATCCTAATGGACAATTTTGAAAATTATGTTTGAAAATAAATATGGAGTTTTCAAAACAACATAATTAAATAAAAACAACAACAATTTTAAAATCAAAACATTTTTTATTTCGAAATTTTGAAAAATAATAATAATAAAATCTTGTGTTTTTGATGAAATTGGTTGTAGAATCTAGTTTAGAAACATAATGTAAGTAATGCTTGATATATAATTCATCCTAGAACTAATTAAATCTAGTCCTAAGTTCAAAAACAATAAAATAGTGGTTTTAGATAAATTACCTTGAAAAATTTCGGATTGAGATGAATGTGATGTTGTTTACATGGTTTTGTTGATGCAAGCAGGATTAGGAGTTGAAAAACAATAAGATTCCAACTAGATTTTGTTGATTTAAGCACGAACGGATATTAGGGGTTGAGAGGATGCATACGGCGGGTGTGTTTGGATTTATGAGGGTTTGGCAAAAATATGAATTTTATGGATTTAAAGCCAAAAACCCAACGAGTGTATCGATGCACATTCAAGACATGCATCGGTGTACCTTCATAGTGTATTGATGCATATTCAAGGAATGCATCGGTATACTTTAATAGTGTATCGATGCACTATGCACAAAAATGTTAAAATCCGTTTTTTTAACACTCAGAATGCTAAATTAATTAGCTCTGGTGGTATTGGCAACTCAAAGATCGAAAATTAACAATGTTCAATCAAATAAAACTATCCTTAAATTTTATTTAAACATATAATTAATCATAAACTCTCCCTAACTAACAGTAAAGAATTCAATCAAAAATATTATTTTTAAAAGTATTTTTCAAAACTAATTAAAAGTGCTAAAAATCATTTTAAACACTAAGTCAAGGTAGGTTAGTTAAACCTAATTCTCTCCTAAGTGTCCAAAATCTTTCTTTATCTAATGGTTTCAATGTGCTTAGTCCTAAAAGTCCTAATTGATGCAAAGTATCAACATATTCTAGAACTATGTCTCCTTTAGTGACAAGATATCTAATGAAAGTAATGATGTATAATTTCAATGTGCTTAGTTCTAGAATGTTGGATGAGATTTTTAGTGAGACAAATAGCACTAGTATTGTCACACTTGATAGGTATGGAACCTATTTCAATTCCATAATCTAAAAGTTGTTGTTTCATCCATAAAACTTGTGCACAACAACTACTGGCTGAAATGTATTCCGCTTTAGTGGTAGATAATGCGACACAATTTTGTTTCTTTGAAAACCATGAAATCAGAATATTTCCTAGGAATTGACAAGTACCGAAGGTGTTTTTCCTATCTATTTTGCATTCTCCATAATCCACATCAGAGAAGGCATGCAAGCTAAAGCTAGAGTCTCTAGGATACCAAAGTCCTAAACTAGGAGTGTCCTTAAGGTATCTAAAGATTCTCTTAATGGCTAGTAGATGTGATTTCTTAAGGCATGATTGAAATCTAGCACATAAGCAAACATTAAACATAATGTATAGTCTACTTGTGGTTAGATAAAACATAGAGCCACTCATTGACCTATATAATTTAACATCCACACATTTACCTCCTTCATCTTTGTCAAGCTTTGTTGATGAGATCATTGGAGTGGTATGAGGTTTCCCATTTTCCAATCCAAATTTCTTGAGCATATCCTTGACGTATTTTTCTTGATTGATGAAGTTGCCATCTTTTCTTTGCTTGATTTGAAGTCCCAAGAAAATGAGAGCTCCCCTATCATGCTCATCTCGAATTCACTCTGCATTAGCTTAGAAAATTCTTGGCAAAGAGAATCATTAGTATAACCAAATATTATATCATCAACATAAATTTGAACTACTAATAAATCTTTACCATTATGCTTTAAAAACAATTTAGTGTCAACCTTCCCTTTTGAAAAACCTTTTTCAATTAAAAAATTTGACAATGTTTCATACCAAGCTCTAGGAGCTTGTTTTAAACCATAAAGCACTTTTGTCAATTTAAAAACATAATTTGGAAATTTTGAATCTTCAAAACCAG